AGTCATGGGGTGTCGCGTCAATTTCGCGGGAGGGGCCAGTGATATGCCAGCACCAAGTTTGGCCAGGCTATCCATGGGCGTTCGCCAGTGGCCCGTGAGAGACCTGGCCAACTTAGGAGTTTCGATTCCTTGCCGATCTGATTCTTGGATTCTAGTTTTGGTCCGATCCACCGTGCGCCATTGAGGTGTGTATCGATCCAGTATGAGGACTCGAAGCGTGAACCCCTCAGTCTCGGCGGTGCCACTGGTGGAAGCTCAGCGGAAATCGGCGGAGGTACAGCGGGAGACTCCGTGAGAGGTCGACGCTGGCTTCCCACTAGTTTTCGGAGGTTGCCAGCTGTCGTCCGACCGTTTCCCCAGTTGTTTCCATGATTCGGGCTGTGGACAAGCCCTGTGCCGAGCTCGGTCGTCTAACTCACTGACGGTCAGGCTCACGCCACGTTCTCAGACGGCCCAAAAGGTTCTTGAGGTCGTCCCAGGACCGCCACAGACGCCCCCCAGAGGGTGCCAATGGTCCCTCGAAGCGCCTCTGAGGCGTCCGAAACGGCTCTGACCAGGCGGCTTCCACGTGGCCCAAACTTGCTTCCTAGACGTCCGAATACGCTTCGAAGAGCACTGAGGGCCCGCGTGGCCAAGGAAGGTTCTGAGGGAGCTCCAAAACCAGTGCAGGTTCAGTCACGCCAGAGAGCGCTCGCGTGACGATGACGACGTTGATGATCATCTTGGTGATGATGTCGACGATGTGTGGTGATGACGATGATGTCGATGACCATGATTGTTATGGTGCTTTGACGGTGATGATGTTGATGTTGAATGCCATCCTTTGGGGCTGACATCTTTCATTATCCTTTCTAAGATGGAGATAGGTTCTACCATCCACCCACCCACCCGGAATTATCGATTCCACGGGAACCGATTCAAAACACGTATGATTCAAATCCATCTTAGCTGCGAGTTCATACTTATCCCAGCCAGGCCGGTATCAGTACCCCCTCGGTTCCTTCGAATGAAAATGCTATGCGCGCGCACTCGTTGATCAACAATCATAAGTTTTTAACCATCCCTTGCAAACCAAACGAGGCGAAGTGCACACGCGCGCGTCGTCGCGCGCGTGTGCCGAAATCGTTTTAAACAAACTTTCGATGTCGGAAGGATTTCAGAATCGAGTATCCAAAAAACACAAAAAATAACAGTGGTTTTCGCAACTCGGATTTTCAACAAAAACGTTCGCGCGTGCTCTTGCGAATTCTGAAGACAACTTGTTTTTTCATTAATTCCATAACATGCTACCAAACGTCGTGCGTGCATTTGGAAATCGTTCGAACGCCCTTGCGCGCGTGCTGGGGTGGCACGATCCGTGTCTGGTAATACCATGCGAGCTGCAGTCGCGCGTGTGCCGCGCGCGCATTCCGAATTCCTTCCAACACCCGCATCACCGACGCGAAGACGCCGTCATCGTCGTCGGCGTGATCAGCATCGGCGCCGTCAATGGCTGTCCCGTCGTCGCTGCCAGCATCGCCACCAGCATCGCTACTATCATCATCGTGTTTAATGTTGTCGATGTTGCCATGATACCGCGCCCGCCAGAGTTTCCTGTGCCTTGATACCGAGCTCGCAGATATGCACCGCCAACACCCAGCACACATCGCAATTGCTCCCGCATGGGTTGTGCAAATCAAGTTGCGGGTTGGTGGGTGGGATGGGATGAATGCGCGGTCAGTGGATTTGACAATGTCAAGTTCGGCAAGTGAGTGATCACCCATACTTGTGACCTCCATTGTACTTCCGTTTGGCTTCCAGGAGGCTTATCGTCATCTTTGGCCGGGGCTCGCCCCAGAAAGTCGCTCGGGTTGGCGCCTGGGAAAAGTCCAGGGGGCCGAGGAGTCTGGAGGGTGGTATCCGCTTTTGGAGTTGCCCTGGGGCTCGCGTGGGCATTTTGGGCCGATTGTGGAGCCGTTTTCGGGCGATGTCGGGCGCTCACGTGCGAAGCGTTGCCTTGCCCAGATTTGCCTGCCTCTGTTGCCGATGGGAGACTTATGTGTTTGTTTCCTGCCTTCTTATTCTTGAAATGATTACGATTTTTTTCGGCCCCACACGGGTTCGGAGGGCCAGCGGACTTTTGTGACGCAACATCCAGAGCAACAGCATGTTTTGCCATTTCTTGCTCTCTCTCTCTCTGTCTTTTGTTCCCTCCTCCCTTCTCCTGCTTGTTTTTCTCACGCCTTTTCTCCTCTACGTCCTCGCCAGAGCCGGATTGGCTCAAGACCCCCTCCGCGTCCGTGTTCCAGAGCTTCCCTATGGCCGGTCGCACCTCCTTCGCCCGCGGCTCTGAGTCATATGAAAGCGGGCTTGCCATGTCCAGCACGGCGAGGTGCCGACGCGTGGCCCGACCGGGTGAAATCAAGGGATACGGTGCAAAGGTTGTGGCTCGTGGGCGAGAGAGGATCGCATCCATTCGCGCGGATTGCCAAACATTTCCAAGACAATCCGTTGGGCGGAGGACGAGGAATCTGAGTCTCTCCACCGACCAGCCCGTCATAACGTATACATATGTGCCTTTGTCCATGTCATTCGTCCAGTAGGACAACGGCCGGCACGTCGAATTCGCATGGGCCCACAGAGCGCGCGAGAGCAGCAATTGCCACAGTGGAATCTCGAATCAAAGCGGCAGGCGATTTCTGTATGACACGCGCCTTGGCAGCCATCGGCAATCGCATGTCCAGAAACCGACGAACAGACCGCCACGCGTTGCTCGTCGATGTTGAGATCGATCGCGCCTGCGGCTGGCGGTCCCCGCTGCCGCTGTCGCGTTCCAGCGAACAGCAAGTGTTGTTCTGCCATGTGCACATTCTGCGCGGGCGGTTGAGTGAGAACGGCCGGGGGATGATGCGCCCACTGCGTACTCCTCTGCTTCCGCGCGATGCGTTTGCCATGGACGTTGACGCCGTTGGCTAGTGGGCATGCGACTGCCCGCTCGACTTGCTGGGCGTTGGGGCGGGGTCAGATCCGGGCAGGGAATTGCAGGCCGGGGGGGGGGGGGGGGGGCGCGCAGATCCCATGGGCTGACGATGGGGGCGGGGGTCCTGGGCAGGGGTCAGATTTGGGCAAGGAATTGCAGGGTCGGGGGGGCTCAGGAGGGAAGCTCCCGGAATCTTGCGGGGGTCGGACCACGCGGAGGGCCTCGGCGCGGCGCCGGGGCGGGAATTCTCGGGCGGGGGGGCCAAGAACGGCGCTCCGAGGATGGCGTTGAGGGCGTCGGCGGGGGGCGCGGGGCGGGGTCAGATCTGGGCCAGGAGTGCCGGGGCGGGTGGGCCCCAAGAACACGGGTCCCAGGGGCTGCGGGCGTCGGCGGGGGACCTGGGCAGGGGCCAGATCCGGGCTAGGCGGTGCAGGGTTGGGGGGGGGGCGTCGGCGGGGGACCTGGGGCGGGGTCAGATACAGACCGGGAATTGCAGGGCTGGGGGAGGGCCAAGAACGCGGATCCCAGGGGTTGAGGGCGTCGGCGGGGGACTTGGGAAGGGGTCGGGTCTGGGTCGGGAATTGCAGAGTCGGGGGGGGCCAGGAATGCAGATTTAGGGGCGGAAGGCGTTGGCGGGTGACCTGCAGGGGCGGGGTCAGATACATGCCAGGAATGGTAAGGCTGGGGGGGGGGCACGAACGCAGATCCCAAGGGCTGAGGGCGTCGGCGGGCGACCTGGGGCGGGGCGAGATCTGGGCCAAGAACTGCATGGTGGGGGGCGGCCAAGAACACATGTCCCATTGGCTGGGGGCGTCGGCGGGGGACTTGGGGCGAGGTCAGGCCAGGGCCAGGAACTGCAGGGCTGGAGGGTCCCAAGAACAGAGCTCCCAGAATGGTGCGGGGGTCGGACGCCCCAGGAATTGTCGGGTGGGGGGCCCAGAGCGCGGGGCTCGGAGTTTGGCGCGGATGGATGCCGGGCCAGGACGCGGGCCGCGCGGGGCGAGGCCAAGCCCGGGCCAGGAATCGCAGGGGCGGGGGGCCCCGAACCCCAAGCGCAAAGATCCCAGGGGGTGGGGGCGTCGGCGGGGGACCTGGGACGGCGTCAGATCCGGGCCAGGAATTGAACGGCTGGGGGGACCCAGTCACGCAGATCGCGTGGGCTGAGGGTGTCGGCAGGGGACCGGGGACGGGGTAGGATCCAGGCCAGGAATTGCAAGGCTGGGGGGGGGGGGGGCCAAGCGGACAGATTGCATGTCCCTCTACAGGAGGAGTATACAAAAATAGTAAACCATAGTCTGGATACGATCTCTTGACTTGTCTTGATCTTCTGTTTTGCTAATGTTTACATGTCGTCCAAAATCCGCCTGTAGGAGGACGCGCCCGACCTAGCGCTCGACGCCCGCGCGCGGTCCAGATTTTGCCGCAATGTGCATTTCGTTTTTTGTTTGTTCGAGAACGATGGCGCGGGGGCGCCCGCATGGTTCCGAGTTTGTCGCCAGTCGCGCGGGGGAATGGGCGCATGCCAACGAGGAAAGATCGACAGGCACTTCCCCAACGGAGACGAGAGAGACGATTATAAAAAATGTTGTAAACCATTTCCGCCCAGAGCCATGACGGGACTAAGGGGAAGAGGAGGGCAGGAAGAGCAGGAGGAGGAGGAGGAAGAAGAGGAGGAGGAGGAGGATGGGAGGGAGGACGGACGAGGAGGAGGAGGAGGAGGAGGAGGAGGATGAAAACGATAGAAGGAGGAGGATGGAAGAGAGGAGGAGGAGGAGGAGAGGAGGAGGAGGAGGAAGACGAGAGAAAGAGGAGGATGGAAGAGGAGGAGGAGGAGGAGTAGTAGGAAGAGGAGGGAGGAGGAGGAGGAGGAGGAGGAGGAGGAGGAGGAGGAGGAGGAGGAGGAGGAGGAGGAGGAGGAGGAGGAGGAGGAAGAGGAGGAGGAGGAGGAGGAGGTTGAGGCGTTCCTGAACAGATGTCCGCCGTATGTTCCCTGCCCCCGGGCCGCAGCCTCCCGGCGCCGGCGCGCCGCGCCGGGCTCCAGGAGCGGTGCAGCCCTTCCATACCGGGCGGCTACGACGAGGACATCTGAGGGCGGCGCCGCCGCCAACCCTCGGGGGCGGCAAAGAGGGGGGTGATGACTTGGGGGGGGTGGATGTCATGGCGTGGGCCATGATATTTCCCCAGATTTGATGGCGCCTCTTCTTATTTCAATATGTTCCTGGCCCCCCCGCTGGGCCGCGCACGTGCCGCCGGTCATGATTTTCAACCCCCCTCTTGGACACCCCCATCTTGGCCGCTCCTGACCAACCCGGCATTCCTCGCGATGGTCTGTCTCGAGAGCCTTGAGACGAGGGTCAATGCAAACGGGGGTCAGCCAGACCGCCCGATTTTGCAGGATCCTGCAGGGCCGTGGTCGTATGGACCTTGGCTTCGGCGCGTGGGCTTGCATGATCTTGCAGGATCCTTCGCATTGACCCGGGCTTGGGCGCAGGATCTTGCAGGAATTTGCAGGATTCTGCAAGGCTTGACTGATCCGGGTTTGGATTGACCTGGGTCAGAAGATCCCCGACTGTCTTTGGGCGTCCCCAAGTTGCGGAGGAAGGGGTGGCTCGTCGACTACACGTATAAGAGTGACCCTTCGCAAGAGTGACTTTTGGTGCGCGCCCATTGGGGTCTTCCGATCGCCGAGCGCGGTGCGATAGCAGCGTCTTGCGCGCTCGTGTTTGGTCCCTTCCGGCTCCCCCAAAGCCGCGCACCAAAGGTCACTCTTACCCAGGGTCATTCTTGCGTGTAGCCGATGGGGTAGTAGAACCCGATCTTGAGCGGGACCATTCCTGGTCGGCAAGTCCCGCCGACTTGTCCTCCCAGCATTTTGGGTGGCCCCTGTTCCAGGGGGCACGGGAGGCCGTCGCGTGTGACACCGTGCGTCCCCATGTTTGGGAGAGCCGTGATGAGGTTGATTAGGGTGATGATCAGGAGGGGGAGGAGGAGGCAGAGGAGGAGGTGTAGGTTGATGAACAGGAGGAGGGGGAGGGGGAAGCAGAAAGCCATCACATTGGACACCTATCGTCTTCATTTCTTCAGGAGAGTTCATGTAGCTAATTGTTGGCAGTATTGGCTTGGGGGAGCATCTTAGAGGCTTCTGGCACCGTCTTGAGTTCATGGAGCCCGAATGTGCCCAGTATTTCGTAGAATGTACAGGCGCAGATCGAGGCAACTGTGGTTTGAGCCTGGAGCGTCGACGGCATGAGCAGCTCGACCACGAAGGCTCACTAAATTACAAAGCATACAAGTCGCGTGACGGAAACGCCTTGTCATCTTCAACATCGGTATTTGAGAATTCGTGAGTTGTTGCGGCGGACTGGGGTTGAGAGGAATAAAGACAGCATCGCTCCGACGAGTAATTGTGCGACAGTGCAGTGCTCCCAACAGTCGTAGAGAGGTCGGGCCAGAACCAGAAATGGCCTCGGTGTTTCCAGAAGCAGAGCTGTTTGCCACGGGAATTCGGGGAAACCGGTTCCGGCCAAAGTTCCAATCGGTCGAGGGACCGGCTGTGCAGTCTTCGGCAACTTGGATCCGGTCTGGCTGTCGCCGCACCGCCTTGCCGTCCTCGGGTGCGCTCGAGCTGACCATCGCGCCGTCTGCGCTGTTTTCCATGGTAGGTCCAGCGAGGGCCACTGCCAGCCAGAGGAAGGCTGCAGCTGCATGGCTGGCGGAGGCCTTGCTCTGCGTGGGGAAGGCTGCAGACAGAGCCTACTTCAAGGCTCAGAAGGATCGTCCTCGAGCGCACGGGGCCTTCAGCTTCATCACTCTCGGAGCCTCAACCTCTTTGCCCAGGTCCGCCCTCCTCGTCGACTACTCCGTGTTTCTGGGTACATTGTACACGTTCTTGCCATGGTAGCCCGCAATTCAGAGTTGATTGCGGGAATTGTATCAAGTCTCGGACCCGCAGGAAACATAGTATCCACGAGGTCGGGGAGATGTTAGGGAGTAGCAGCATTAAGAGATGAGCATGATGATGGGGATCAAGAGGAGAATGAGAGCGTTTATCGATCGCCAGTTCCCGTTCCACCCCCCCCACACCACTTCCTTGGTGCTCTCAGAAACGAATGTGGATGGTCGCACGAGGAGGCGGTCTTCCCGTCTCATTGTGCGTCTCACACTGGATTCAGTTGCTGGTCCAACGGTCTCGTGCGTGATCAGGTTGCCCTCTTAATTATTTCCTCCCCGCAGCCGCTCTCTGTTCGCATCCTCCCCTCATAGTTTCTTCTCCTAGCGTGGGAGGAGGATCAGGGGCATGAGCAGGGGGGGGGGCAGGAAGCAGAGAGAACACGGAGAGCAAGGTTGAGGTTGTCGATGCTAGCATGTTTGTTTTTCTCGATCGGTTCCGCCGCCCGTTCTTGTGCCCAGTTGCCCTCTTGCATTCAGGAGAAGGCGGGGTGAAGAGGAGGGGCTTGAGGGAGGGAGGGAGGGAGAGTGGCGGGTGGGATGGGAGAGGGGGTGAGATCAAACTAGGTGCGCTCGCGCCTCATCAGACATCCCATCCTCCCTTCCCTTCCCATGGCGCTGATTTCTCATTCTTCTCCGCGGACGCGTGTCCCAGCCCACATGCGACTCCAACAGAGAGAGACCACTTCGTGCTATGCGCAATCGGAAACAGGGGAGTTGCGCGAACATTAGGAGGAGATGGCGGGTGAGCAGGAGGATCATCGGGATAAAACGGATGAGGACGAACAGCAGCACGGCGGACGGATAGGGAGGAAAAGGAGGACTTGGGGAAGTCGCAGGAGGGGAAATGAGGAGGGCGTCAACGATGACAAAATATTCGGTTTCACAAAAAAGTGGCCCGCGCTGGGCGAGACGAACAGCAGCAGAAATTTGAGTGGAAGGAGCGGGAGGAACAGGAGGACCAGTTGAAGGCAGAGGAGGGGACATGATGGGGGAGAGGACCACAATGAAGCAAGGCTCGGCCCGCTTTGGGGCGAGAGCGCCATTCTGAACGACGGGAGCAAAGCGCCAGTCCGAAAATGGAGCCTACGATGCACCGGGAGCACCCTTTGAAACACCACAGGCAATCGGATTGTAAAGCACATGATGAAACAACGCAAATTGTTGAAGTCGTGCGTATGAAAAATCGCACACAGAGGGGCGAGAGATTTTCCGGACAACTTCAGTGGAGGAGGGACGGTAGCATTGCGAGGGCCTTACGGCCAGTGCCGCCGACCTTGAAGGGGTACGACGACGACAACGGCGGCAGTGACGACGACGACGACGACGACATGGGCCAGAAGGTGCTTCTTGAGGTCTCTTCGGGATGCTCTCGGGGGCCTCTGGGGAGGAATTCTAGGGCCTCTTGGGAGCCTCTTGGAGGCCTCTTGGGGGCATCTTGGGGCCTCTTCGGGCTTCCTGGGGACCTCTTGTGAGCCTCTTTGGAGCCTCTTTGGAACCTCCTAGGGCCTTCTGGGAGCCTCTCGGGGCCGAGGGCTCGAAATGTCCATTCGGGTCCCCGCCTTGACACCCTCTTGGAGCCGCCTTGGGGGCCCCTTGTGCCGTCTTGGAGGCGTTGTGGGTTGTCTTGGGGTCCTCTTGGGCTGTGTTGGGGCCTTCTTGGAGACCTCTTGGATCGTCTTGGGGCGATCTTAGCGCCCTTTTGGGTCTTCTTGGAGCAGCGGGGAGCGGAAAAGGCGAGAACTCCAAAATCTTGAAAAACAAATGGGAAATCCATGAATTTTGCCTCGTGGGGCCCTTCTTGGGAGCACTCTTGGAGGCTTCTTGGGACGGCTTGGCGAGTAGTCATCAGATTGTGCAGTTGTAGAGATTGGGGTGGGAAGTGGACGGGAGGGGGAAGGAGGAGGGAAGGGGGGATGGGAGGAGGTGACCCTTCGGTTCCGGATACGGGTGGGCGCGGACAGTTGGATCTAATGATTGCACATAGCGGTACCGCCGTCGCCGTTGCTATTGCAGCGCCGCGGATCGACAAGGGCGGAGCTTTGCAGCCATACGGCGCGAGGCAGCGTTTTTGTTCCCGCCCCGTCGCGCGGCAAAGAGAGGAGATGGGACGACGTTGACGAACGTCGCCTCCCGACGGACTGACGTTGCTTCCATGACAAGCGCTGCACGCGGTGGGCGCACGATCTTTGTGACCGTCGGGACCACGTCCTTCGACGCCCTGATAGAGCAGGCGGACCTGGAGGGGCGGAGGCTGCAGCAGCGTTTTGCAGTTGTTTCCCCCCCCTCTATCTCTCTCTCTCTCTCTCTCTATCTCCTTCTCTCTCTCTCTCTCTCCTTCCCTCTCCCTTTCTCGCGCTCTTTTCATCACCCTCACCCTCGTTTCGTCTTTCTCCCCCTCTGGATGAGAAGGAAGGCGTGGGCGAACCCGTGTGGGGAGGGGGGAGAATTTGGAAGGGCGGAATGTCGCCGTTTTGCAGTGCCCGCGCGAGGTTGCGACGGCGCGAAGATATTCGCTGGGCGCGATGTGCGAAGGTAGGTGACCTGGGAGGCTTGCTCCCGAGTTCGGCGGCGAGCAAAAGAGGGCAGGGTCGGGGCTACTTGCTCGAGAGTGTCTGGGGTCATAATGTCAAAGCGGCCGCTTCCTTCCTGATCTAATTGCAATTTTGCTCGACGAAACGATGTGCCGAGCCTGGCGCACGGCCGACTTGTTGCAGGTACTGCTTCTCCGCGGTAGTACCGCCCCCATCCTATGTATGGCACTGGTGTGCTACTTACGATGCCCTTGTCTTCGCAATGACTGTGACGGGCCTCTTAGAGCCCGCCCCCCACCCTTGGCTTACCGTCAAGGCCGCAGTCGTCATTCAGAACCCGCCAGCTGCCCTGCTGCGCTGCTCTCGAACCATGCGCTGGTCTGCCAGCCCGGCGCTCCGCGTGGCGAGCCGGAACCGGCCTCTGTTTCTTTGGATCTGGTTGTGCCCCCGCTACTGTCCAGTGTTCTTCCTCTTGCTTCCTCGGCTCTTTTTTTTCTCTTGCTGGTGCTCCTCACTCTGCCATGCCACCTCCTGCGCTTTCTCTCCTTCTGCAAGTGCCGCCTCGGCTCAGGCCAGCGGCCGCGTCATAGGTGTGCTGGCTTGAGCGCTGGTTTGGGCTCCTTCCGTTCTGCCTCAGCGGCTATTGCCGTGCCCCAGCCCCAGGAGCGCGCAGCGCCGCCCCTGCCCCCCGATCGTGACTATCGTAACCCTATCGTGTGCGCCCTGCCCAGCGAAGGATTTAGCAGGGTGAGGCAGGATGAGAGAGCAGGAGGAGGAGGAGGAGGAGGAGGAGGAGGAGGAGGAGGAGGAGGAGGAGCAGGAGGAGGAGGAGGAGGAGGAGGAGCAGGAGGAGGAGGAGGAGGAGGGAGGAGGAGCAGGAGGAGGAGGAGCAGGAGAAGGAGGGGAGGAGTAGGAGGAGGAGGAGGAGCAGGAGGAGGAGGAGGAGGAGGAGGAGGAGGAGGAGCAGGAGCAAGAGGAGGAGGAAGGGAAGGATGAGGAGGAAGAGGAGGAGGAGGAGCAGGAGGAGGAGGAGGAGGAGCAGGAGGAGGAGGAGCAGGAGGAGGTGTTAACATGTAAGCATTCGGGTGACTGGGGAGGGAAGGTGCCCCCGTTACCTTTGGCTCAAGTGTTTAACGGCTGAAGCTACCGAGACTCGCTTCGCCGTGCGGAAGTAAAAAATGACCGATCGTCATCGCTGTCACCGAGCTCCCGTGCAGAACCCTCCTCGGGGTTTTGCATGGTAGCGGAGCGCGGTTGCCATGGCGGCGGCGGCGGCCGCTGCAGCTAGGCCCGCGCAGGGCGACCCGCCGGTCAACCTTAATGTGCCGGCGGACAGAGATGCATGGGTCAACATGGACCCTAACCGCTTCAACGACCTGTGCGAGCAGGCGTACCTGAACGGGGACTTCAGTTACGTTCAGACGGCGTTACTTGCAAATCATTATGGACTTGCGACGTTCATTAACGAGCGAGTGACACAGGGCCGAAGGGAAGTATCAAACGCTGAGGCATTTCAAATGTTACAGAGCGCTCAGAAGACCAACGGCATGTTGTTAGCGATAACGAAGAGAAACGCTGCGCTTGAAAGGGATGCTCGCAGGTTGGTAGAAAGAGTTACCGAGTTGGAGACCAACAGCGAAGGACAAGAGAAGTTAATTGAGAAATTTGGTCAACTTTCGGAAGCAATCAAAGGCGGAAGCGGAAGTAAGCACGGGAGCGGTAAACCGATAAGCGAGTACAAAGCATTACAGGCGTTAAAGAACTTCAGTGGAGAAAGAGCAAAGTTCAGAGACTGGAGCGACAAGTTCTTAAACGCGCTTGCCCAAGTAAAACCGAGTTACCGACCGGCACTGAAAATGCTGAACAAGAAGTTGGAAACACTCGACGGAGTTGTCCCAGAGGAAGATGACGATGATATCATACGCGTAATGAACGGTCGGTTAACAGCAAGCGAATACTTAAAGGCAAACCAAGCTAAACAAGCAGAGGATGACAACAAAGGAGATTATGAGTTCACCGAGGGAGACAAAACTCAAATGGAGGAAGACTTATGGTACATCCTCAACGAAAGGCTTGAAGGTGCAGAAGCAAGGGGAAAATTAAAGGGACTCATGGATGGTGACGGAATCATGGCTTGGCAAAAGGTTTACAAATGGTACTCGGCCGTTACCGGAGCGACCCTTTCCTCAAAGATGACGCACGCTATGGACCCTGAGCCGCCCAAGAAAATTACCGACACCGTTGCCCGACTTGAGGAGTGGGGCGCGTTAGCGGAGAATCTTGAAAATATGGCAAGGATTACTCACTGCCCTTCCCCTTTAAGGTTACCGCGCTCAGGGCAATAATGGTGCATGCGAATGATTGGTTTGACGAGCGGCAGCAGGCGTGTTGGCGGACGCCCGACGCACTTAACATTGACTCGTTCCAGAAGTTATACTCCAAGTGTGAAGATTGGGCGCGTATAAAGGAACTCGACTCAGACACTAAGAATAAAGATGCGATGGACATTGGAAATATTAACGAGACGAGTCAAGGGTCCGAAAATGTCTGGGATCAGACAGGATGGGTTCACGAAGATGGAAATTGGTGGCCAGAGGACGGATATTGGAGTTACGGGTCCTGGGCTAATGAAAGCGACACTGGAGATCATGAAGAAGTCGACGCCGTAAACAAGGGTAAAGGCAAAGGCGCAGGCCCCAAATGTTACAATTGCGGAGGCATGGGTCATTTAGCCAGGAACTGCACAAAGCCTAAACAGTTCACGAAAGGAGGCAAAGGTGGCAAAGGCGGCAAAGGCAAAGGTTACCGTGCCACCTATGGATCCTACATGAAATGTAAGATTGGAGGCAAACAAGGTGGTAAAGGTGGCGGCTCGCGGGGTGGAAGTTACGGTGGCCAAGGAAGATTTACCCCCCACAGCGAGCGCGAGTGCTACAAGTGTAGGGCTAAAGGGCACATTGCTGTTAACTGCCCAGGCCCCAAGAAGACCGCCAACGAAGTTGAGCAAGAGAGACCAACGGTAAACGCGGGAAGTGAACAAACCACCTCGTTTGGCCAACCGCAGCATGTGCTCAGCGTTGAAATGAATGATGAAGTAAACGTGCCACCGGGAACAGCCCACAGCTGAGGAGATTAACGGACAATGGGCACTGCCCTCACATTCCAGAAAGAAAATGGCGCGTAAAGTCGCAGCGGGCCTGAGAAAAGCTCACCAGGAGCATCAGTGCAACGGGAACTGCAACCATGTAAATCAGTGGGGCCAGAGGATAAGTAAAAGTATAAAGCAGGAAAAGAGTTGTTTGGAGAAATGTGGAGAGATTGGGCTAATCGAGATGCGAGACTGTGATCCAGAAATTAACGCGGTGCCACCTCAGAGTACAACGCACGAAACAATCGTGGTTACCGTGGACTCTGGAGCGTGCAGCACGGTAGGACCCCCATGAATAGGCACCTACGTCCCCATTAAACAAACAGATGCGTCAAAGCAGGGAAGACACTACAGCGCAGCAAACGGAACGACGATAAATAATTACGGGCAGCGAGTAGTCACCGGCAAGAATGAACATGGAAACTCAACCAGCATGCCAATTCAAGTGGCGGAAGTCAGCAAAGTTCTGGGATCTGTCAGAGAAATGGTAAACGCTGGAAACAGAGTTGTATTCGACAAGGACCTTAACGGGAGATCCCTGAGTCATATTATGAATATGGCCACGGGTAAATGCACAACCATCCACGAGAAGAACGGCACGCTTCAGTTTAACATCATGGTGCCGAAGGGACCAGTGGAGGCTGTCAAGCCCAAGAGTGAAGTAAACGCAGCTGAGGGTTTTCCGCGGCCGGGAACCCTCGAGGCGGACCTGTTCTACTAAGCCCCTCATTACCCGTAAGACCAAGCGAAAACTTAAACGTCTTTAACGCCGAAGAGGGCGAAGGGAGTGAAAGTGGGGGCAGCGAAAGTGAGTTGAGTGACGTGGAAGACGTGCTTGTAAGTGGCGAAGCAGAGTTACCGAAGAAAGTTCACTGTGACATGAGACCATCAAGGGAGGAAGTTGAGGCGCACAATACAACGCATTTACCTTACCGAAGTTGGTGCCCACATTGCGTTAGAAGCAAAGCGCGTAGGCGCAATCGCAGGAGACGTAAAAGGGAAAGGAACGGAGGTGCACCAGTAATTTCAATGGATTACATGTGGCTTAAAGGAAGAAAGGAAGAAGGCGAAAGTGCTAGCATTGGTAACCCAATTCTGGCCATGCATTGCAGGGAAACCAAATTAACGTGGAGCCGAGTGTTGTTGAAGAAAGGAGTGGGCCCATACTCAGTAAAAGTGGGATGTGACATGATCGGCTTTACCGGATATAAGAAGGTTATACTTAAAAGTGATGGAGAAGCGGCAATTACGGCGCTGGCCAACAGGATTAAAGCGTCGTGTGACCTCGACATGGGTGTTGAAGTCAGTCCTGTAGGCGATGCAAAGGCCAACGGTGAAATTGAGAGAGCTGTTTGAACGGTGCAAGGACAAGTCAGGACATTAAAGAGCGCCTTGGATGCCAATTACAAGACCGAGTTCAGTGAAAGCCATACGATTATTCCATGGCTGGTAAGCTATGCATCTTCTCTGATTAACAAATTCACAATAGATACGGGTGGAAAGACAGCCCATGAAAGATGTAGGGGGAGAAAGTTTAACAAACAAATTCCT